AGCCATTAGTTCATCAATTTAGTCCGAATGAAACTTTGTTTCTCCAAACTGAGCTTCTTCAAAGACAAGTAGAATAATAATTGATTTGAACATTTCCACAGAAGCCCATTTCAAACTAATGGTCCTGTCACACTGTAACATTTCAGACWACTTATGCCAATTTATGAAAATGTTATGACTAAATTACTCATATAGATTATATCATCTAATCATTATCTTTACAGTATGCATKCYMCCAAAAGAGGCTTCCAGTGTATTTTAGWAGTTGTCRAAACCMTTATAGTGTGATGAGGCCTTTAKGTGGGCWTGTGAAGCAAAGATACTTTCAGAATTTATTGGTAATTAGTCAGTTATTTTTCACATATACCCACGTCCTGCCCCCTCCATGTAAACAAACTGGACAMTGCTTTTGATAAAAATAAAACAAAAAAAATGAAACAGCACTACCATCCCTTCTTCAAATAATTTGAAATATTGCCTAAAGGAGCATGTTGATGTAGACATAGATAATTTGAGTATTTGCCTCTCTGTCATTGAACTGTATTTCTTAATTTTTCCACACATGCCGATYAAGTTTCTTTGTCATGTTTCATAGTGACAGACATAAATGTGGACGATCTCTTTAAATAGATAGTTATTTCATCTCAACGTTGATAGGTAACAGTACAAAGGAAGAGTCAGAGAGCTATTGTTGGTTAAAAGAAGAGCACAACAGCCTGATTATCTCAAAACCATGTTTCATTGATCAGTTCATTGACTAATGATGGGGGCTGTGACACTGAGCTACTGTCCTTCTCATTAGGACCTTATTGGTCTGTCAGAGGAGTGTTTTCTCTGAGCACACAGGACACTGTCATATCCACACGGCGGGTCGATTGATAGTCCATTAACAGCCTATTAAACATGACRAAGTGAAGGAGTTCAGAGAACAGTGTTTGGCCAATGGGGGTTTCTTTCTGAATAGCATGGTTCTTCTGTCTGGTGACTTTCCATCTTCAAACGTTGTTAGTCTTTATTCAGTGTAGTAGTTGATAAAAGATATTGAGGGCTTTTAAAATATAATTTAAATTTCTGAAAATTACCAAGAGTCTAGTATTTGTAAAGCTATTGTCTCTGCATTCTTATAGTTTACTAATCTAGAGCATTGGTATCTTTTTCATGTACTGTGCTGCATTTCCCCCAAGTTTCTGGCTCTGGTATGATAAAGGCTAAGTTTATGTCATGGTCTACATTTTTTATACGAACAGTAAATGTAACATTAGAATAATAACATAAATGGTACATTTAAATACATAAGTAATTAGTTTAACTTGGATGAGTTCCCGCCCCACAGACTCATGATCCAAGACAACTGTAGGCTTAAATGATCCAAGGACAGTGTTGCCTAAAATAATGTGCATCATCAAAACTGAAGAGCCAAATATGTTATCACTCAAATCAAAATAAATTGAACTTTTTTTTTTTACCTGCTGTCAAACTTGATTGATACTGACAGGCTGTTCTGTAGTGCTCAGAGGTGTTTATCCTTTCTGTAGGACTGGAGCGAGACTATATAAACATCCGGGTGTAGTTTTTCTCTCGTAACTGTCTGTATGCTGTCTACATCGATAACAGAACATTCCTTAAACAAACAAACAAAAAAAAATGAGTAGAAAACTGAAATAATTCCCTATTAATTCTTTTTGCTGTCTGAGGTTTGGGTTATGGCTGATTTATGGCTGACAGGGTTCCCATGGGTCCTGATGTCAAGGCTCTGGAAAGTTTGTGAAAACAGCCAAAAATTACACTTGTCCTTGAAAGTACTTGAATGATGTTTGGGGATTGAAGTTCTCTATTCACACGACTGATTTTCATCCTCTGGAAAAAAACAACAACAAAACTTACATTTGTTGCGGTGAATAACTCAGGATTACAGTAAACTGACGTGGCTTTCAACAAATAACATGAGCCATAGTCATAGTTTTACCCAATCAGAGCAGAGTAGGGCGGGTCATTCTTTCTGAGCCCAGGTGAGAGCACCACAGCTCCTCCTGTCCTCACAGAGGGTCTGGACATGTTCAAATCCCCTCCTCCCAAACTGAGCTGCCAAACCTCCCAGGATATAATTACATGTCCATGTATTGCGGATATAAATGTAGGGTGTACATTTAATCCACTTTCTTTATTGATTCTGACTCAGCAACTTCTATGTTGTTCAGTTTTTTATTGAATTTACATGATATTAAACCTGTTCATTGGTAACATTCTGTGGTAGCAGTAGGTAATTGCCGTCGCTTGTGGTTCTTGAATTTGAGGAAACTGGTACTGGAAAGTTCTTGAAAGGTCCTTGAATTTGATGTCGACCAAGGTGTGGGAACCCTGGGCTGATTTTCAATCTTATGTCTTGCTTATACTCGTGCGTGACAAAAATTGCGTAACTTCCGTCTTCTATCTCCCGCTGACATCGCATCTTGTACATTGCCCTCAGTCAGAACTGTGTCTTGCAGACCAGTGTGGTTTGTATTGTCTCATTGGTCAGAACTTTGTGGGCGTGTTTGTTTATGCAGAGCAGAGTGTGCTTCTGTGTATCATTTTGTTGAAAATGGTCTGCTCCCAGAAGCCAGTTGTTAAATTAGCAAGATGTACAGCTTCGAGGAACATCTCCGCAGTAAAAAAAAACAAACAAACAAAAAAACAAGCCATGTCTGGTAAATATTGTCAACTTGACGACGTTAAGAGGAAAAAACAACAACTATTTATCCTGCTGTCACTGTTTCTGTTTATATGCTTAGGTAAATACTACATGTGCTACTTTCTGAGCTCTGTAGGAGGGAGGATGATGATTTATCCTTCGTGTATTCTATGTGAATATAAACACTCTATGACTAAAAGACATCTGAAATGACATAATCACTGATTCCCTGTCTCACGTCTTGCTAAAGTATAAACTATGTTAAGGGTTGGGGGGCAGGTGGGTCACCCACCTTGGTTAATGGCATGGGAAAAGCTTCATCTCCACTGCTACAGTTGCTGACCTCCAGAGAAATTCATCTCTGCAGAGGCTCCGTTGCAGGAATGACAACAATCACAGTAACAAACTCCAGCATACAGTGAAATACTGTATATGCTGAGTGGCTTATCAGTATTGTTTGACTGCATTTGACAAACAACTTGAATTGAGCATGTTTGCATTTAGTGGTAAAAGTCTAAAATGGAACTAATTATCTGACATGTTAAAAGCTGATTTGTACAAATTCTGATGTCCTGAATCTTTAGAGAGCTGCATCTGATAACACAAGTACTTCTGGAGCTGACTAAAATCCAAACAGCTTCCAAGTATGTTTACCACATTTGTCATTTAGCTGATCATATTTTTGTATTTTGTTTGTATATTTCTTTCCACTTAAAACCTTTAAAATACCCACAATGCATCACCTAAATCACCAAGTCTCCTAACGTTTTCACAATATTTAGATGAGGAGTCACTAAGTGTAAGAGAAGTAAATCATTCTGTCTGGACTGTCCTGTTTATTCTTTACATGATATTAAATGGACTGTGAAATTTATTGTTATAAATATGCATAAAAACAAGGCTGGATCATTCCCAATAACTTGAGAATGTTGGTAGTTTAAACACAGCCAATGAAAAACACCTGAAACAGATTTCTACAGCACGTTTCTATCATATCCTCTGTCTTGTGTCTAGATACTTATCTAAAGTATTCAGTTGTGTGATCTTATCTTCACACAGTTTTCTTTTATGATTTACTTATGTGTAATTTATGTCTGGATCCAAATATTTGAAGGTTATAATTATTTGTGTTCATAAAATTTGTAAAAAGAATAAAATAATAAAAAACAACTTGTTTTAAATTAAAACACAGCAACACAAAAGAACAGCTAAGATCTCATTTATAGATTGAAAGATGCATGATCTTTGAGTTGATCCTTCTGGAAATTACTTTTAGTTAAAAATGCTGTTTATTTTCTTTAGCAATTATTTTTCTCCAGAACAGACATTTGTTGGTCACAGGCTGGAATATGTCCAAAGCTGAAATTTCAAACAACTAATGCTCAATAAATACATAAAAATGTTTATAACTTTTATAAAACTGTTCACAAGTAATTTAAAACAATTGTAAGGCAGTTGTGCTTGTTGAAAGCAAATTTTAAAAACATCTAGGGTGAATTATAGCCTGGTTAAAACCAGACCCTGTCCTTCACTTTGCTTCCTACAAGGGTCTGGACTTGCTGCATAGAGAAGCGTTTCTTGCAGGAGGCGTGGCCTCTGCTGAAGTGTGTGTGTGTGTGTGTGTTGTCGGTGTGACAGAGGCTAAGCTAAGAAGCTAACCGCAAATCGCGTGTGCTGTAAACAACCCTACCGAGAGGAGAAATATACAGAGCCAAACAAGACGACTGTAAATGAGAGCTGCTGCTTTGTCAGACAAATTTATTTTAATTTGGAAACCTTATCAACACAGACTGGCTTCATTCACTTCGTCCACTGCCGTATGCTAAACTAACTAGCAGACACTGCACAGAACATCGACATCATTCAAAACTCCTCCTTCTGTTTGCTGATTGGCCCAGGTAAAATAAACCAGAAGCAGACACTGTGCAGAAAATCYACGTTCTGTTCTCTGATTGGCCCGGCTAAAAATCTGCCAGTGAAATCCTTGTCAATTGGAGAAGTCCCAGATGGAGCAGTGAAGGGAAACTAAAATTGAGTGGAACTGCGTAGGAAGGCAAGGGCCAGGCTAGGTGAATTATGACATTTGGACAATATTGAATTTTTTTCCCAAATACTTCAAAATTGAATTTAAAGGCCTTCAAACATCAGTACAATCTAAAGCAGTACAATAAACCACCCTAATAAAATGTCAGGTAGAATTGCTCTGCCAGTTTTTCGTCCATTGTTGTTTCACTAAAACCTAATCATGACTGACCTTGTTTGATGTAAAATATGCAGCAGAAAGTAGGACCATTTCTGCTTGTCTGACTCTGTCCTTTTTGAATTTCAGGTTAGCGTTATACGTGTACGAGTACCTGCTACATGTGGGAGCACAGAAGTCCGCACAGACTTTCCTATCTGAGGTAAGGTGCCATTCATGACTCAAACTGATTCAGAAAGAAAAAAGCTCAGACTAAATGTTCAGATCTTCATTTGTTGAGTCTTTCTGTGGAAATTACTGCTGTTTTAACTCCAGCCAGCTCTTGTTGAAACTTGTTAACTGAGAAATGGGTCATAAGTGCTTCTGAATACAAGGCAACTTTCCTCATTCCTAATCTGTAAGCGTCATGGCTTTCTAAAAGTAAGTCCTAAATTCAGGTGTAAAGTTTTACATTAGGATATAATAAAACATACAATTTTATGATTTCTACCATTTCTTAAATTTTTCTACATACAGCTTCAAAGGAAAGGCAAAAGACCTAATTTCCTAGTTTTACCTTTACACATCTTCATCCCTCGGTCCCTAATTTGAACTCGCAAAGAAAAATGATTAAGGTATTCCACTTAAAATTAAGATAATCCTTAAACAAGCTGAAACATCTTCAGCTTTTGATGATTTTTTTTGCATAAACAAACCAATGTCAATTTTCAGTCAGATCCAGTTATCAGGCTCCAACAGACTTTTGCAAACAATATTGTTTTTATGTTTGTTAAGAAAACTTGATAACCATAATACCAAATGTAATACACCAGGATATGACAAAGACATACTGATTTTTGTGCATTTAAAAAATAATGAACAAATAACAGAGGTTTTTGCAATTGCGTCTCACACCTTTTTGATTCAAAGTTTTTGCCTGAAAAGTCTCATTTTGAAAGGTCAAAATTATGTCTGGTTCACACAGCAAAATTTTAAAATTGTCGGCCAATTTTCAAAGACTGAGATACCCCACACACAAGGATAAAAAACTCATAAATATAACATGTTTGGTCCTACAGTGTGTGGTGTATGGCCACATGGCAAAGACCAACACAACACACACAAACACATTTCATATACTAACATTCAGATGGCAGACTGGAAATTTCATGAGACCTCTTAAAGTCACATGAGATCATGAGTACATTCAAACAGAAAAGCAGTGGCCGTTAGTTAGTGGACTATTTTAACAGAAATAAAACAGTTCAGAAAGACGTCTCCAACATCTAATGGACTTTGTGGTGAGCCATGGCAGTTTTTTTATTCTTTTGTATTCCCCTCCGTGTTTATGTTACATCACTTTCTGTATGGCCAAACGTCACATTCAACAGGCTGCATGATCGTTTGTCCTCGGGGAACACCATACAGGCTGGGATGTCGGGTCAAGATGTTCCAACATGTTGAATATCCCTGATTTGCAATCGGAGCAGCCTTGACACAAACTTGGGCCAAAAATCGGCACAATTATCTTGCCATGTGTACCTGGCATTACCTTGTTAACCTCCCCCCACATTTGTAAAGGGATTGGGAATTCTCAACATTCCCTTGTGAATGTGCTAAATGTAGGAATGATGCTTTGAAGTAAAACAAGTTTCACTAGGATTCAGCCAAAAAATAACTAGGATTCCTTACTGCTTCCAAAGAAATTAAGAGGCTAAGTAGAAGTTAGGTTCTGCTAATCAAACTCACTGATTAGCAGATCATACACAAAGTTCACACCTCCTATTAAAGCTGTTCTTTTATCAGTTTGCTTCTCTGGAGCGTACTTATCATGACTAAACCAGTATGGCTGGTTTGGAAGTGTTACTAGGTGAAAGTATTTGTTCTATAAAAAGCTCATGGCAGCGTGGCCTTAGGTTTGCAGAGTTTAATCAGAACAACCCCCCAGCCCTTTGAAACAATGTCTTTTGGACAAACAAGTGGAGATGTTTGGTCGTACAGCACAAAAACTAAACAGTGCATGTTAGCACAAACTCCTCAAACCAGCTGTCAAGGATGATGTGGACTTGTTGCGAACTGACTTGATGAAATAATTTGCATACCAAAGTATTTTAGAGTTAAATTTTGAGGCCATTTGTTTGATAGCTCCAGCAACTTGAGTAAAGGCTTCGGCCTGGTCCCTCTGGATCTGCAATATGTACTCTCATTGACACAGTTGCATGACATCAGTTGTGTTATTTAGTCCTCAGCTTTGTGTTGCCCGCCCCTTCTTATCACAAGGCCTCAGCTGAACTTTTTGTCCTTATTAGTAGACAAAATTATTGCATGATTGGTTAGAAGTTTGTTGCTGGAAAGCGCTCGGAGAGAAACAGAGGCATTTTGCTTCAGCTACTTCGATTCCAGAAGCTGAGTTTTGTTCCCACAAGAAGACACTTATAAAGATAGTCAAGTGGCCAAAAACTCCTGGATAGAGAACGCAGACATCGTGCACAGAAATCTGTCAGCTGAAAAGTGTGGCGCTTTAAATGTGACAGATTTGTGGCCGAAGTGATGATGGATATAAGAGGGGAGAAGAAACCCATGAAGCAGCGTGAAATGTTTCCCAAGATTTCTACGCTGTGTGCCAGGTGTGTGTGAAAACAAATCTGCCACCACGTGACTGTGCGTCGACAAGTCGGCTTCTGCTCGACCACGTTGGGCTCTTAAATCACAATGGGTCAGTCAAAATCAGACATCAGCCTGACTGAAATTCAGTGCACAAAGCTGTGTTTATATAAAAGTCCACAAATCTCAATGAACCGAGGGAAAGTTGTAAAGATTGATGTGAGTTATTGACTTGCATTTCACTTTTATCGTACTACTTCTGCATCAGGCTTAGTTCTCTATAAATAAATATTGACACAAAATAACGCTGTTGATTTTTATCTTAGACTGCATTTACCTCATTTTAAAATCTAACAAACACCTGCTATATTTTCCCCTTGCACAAAACCTTACATTTCATTTTCTCATGAAAGCATCTCTGCTTTATTATGTACATCAATGCAAGCATGCTTTACACAATTACAGTATATACAATGTTACATTAATTTTTCACAAGGAAATCCTATATGGTACACCTGATTGTGCTCACTGCTCATCACTGTGTACATGATGAGGTCAAAACTGACCAAATCTTCATTGTTTGATGACATTGTAAACATTTACCGGCGTCATAGTGTTTGTAGTGAATTTTCAAATTGCTCAGAAACCTCTTTCAGATGCAAGCAAGCAAGCAATCAGGGTCAGTGACTCCTCTTTTCTTTTCAGATTCGATGGGAGAAGAATATTACATTAGGAGAACCACCCGGATTCCTTCATTCTTGGTGGTGGTAAGTATTGCTGTCACTTTCCCCCTGAATCAGCAGTTACTTCTCTTATTTAATACATTTATTTTTAGGGGAGGAGATGCGGGGGGTGTATTTGCTACTGAATAAGCAGATTTTCCTGTATATCTCTTAAGCTTCGTATTCCCTCTCTTGGCATATAAACACTTTACAGGGCTGTGCTGTCTATCCTGACGTGTCATAATTCATTACTGTAACAGTGGCAAAATGTGGCATCATATGAGCTGTTGGGCTTAAAGTGCTGTGATCTAGTTTTAAATGTCCCATGTAAACATTCAGAGAATTTATCTYATGGCTTGATAACGTATAGAAAAAGACACGGCAGGGCATCAGTCTTGGAGTTAACCAGACTGAGGGCTTGAACCCGACCCCCCCTCCCACCCCGGACACCTCCTTTTTCCTCCCCCTCCTCCAGCTTTCCAACCTTCACTGCCGTTTCTGAAACAATAGATCCAGATGGTTAGGGAATGGACCCCCTTTTCCCTTCCTCCTCCTCTCCRTCTCCTTACCCTTTGTGTGCCCCCACCTCAGACTTTACCCCCTTTTGTTCACATGGGAGAAGGCTTTTTAGCAGATTAACCCGTTGCATTCCAGCTTCCTTTGTGTCACCTTCCACCTCCCCCCATCGTCAGTTCTCCCGCTTGCAAATTTGACCTGTTGGGTCAACACCTTGGGTGCTGATCACCAGTTTCATTGCTCTTTTCTGATCAGGGTCTACGGCATACAGTGCATTTAAACATTTCTCAGACACAATGTACTGGAATAAGGTATATATTGCTTTGGGACCAAACCGTTCTAAGGTCTTTTTGGATCTATAGAAATCACTAAGCACCCACCACCCAACACCCCCTTCCCCTCTCAATGACAAGACATCAAGGACTTTTTTGCATTCACACATAGGCTACGGTCACACTGCAAGCAAAGCAGCCAAAATTCCTTTTTTTCTTCTTTTGCCCCTGTGACCCATATCAGATAATTTTATGACATTCTGAATGTGACAAATCCATTTTTTTTTCAAATCCCACTCAAATTTTTTTATACGTGGTAATAAATCAGATGCATATTGTTCCTTTTGTTGTGATTTTTTTAAAATTTGCCATCTCTGATGGCTGAGAATCTACAGTAACGTGATATTAACATTCATATCAGGCTGTATCYATGCTAATGTGAAGGGATAGATACTTGAGTTTGTTTCTACTTTCAATACGTCATTTCCTATTACAGAAATTCAGTCCTTGGCCGTTTTAGCTATTAGGGCTGTAACAATACATCAATCCACATCAATATATCAATTAAACGATTAAGATTTAATTACATTTAGACAAAAATGAGAACGTTGATTCATATTGTCACCAAATGCCTTATGTTGAGTGATATCACATGATGATATCYCATCATATTGATCACAGACTTGTGAATGGAATTGAATTGAATCAAAATCATATTATGACAGACTTTGTAATATCGAGGAACATTGTATCGTCGTTCAAACAAATCAATATAATATTGTATTGTGATAAAGCTGGTGATAAAGCTATTAGCCATCAAGAGGCAGGATCAAACATAAACACTGGAACAAACATGTCAGATAATTACTTAATCTGTTCTGATTGCAGAACAGCTTCCAAATCGATACACACATGCTAACATGTGTAGCATTTATATTATACTTTATTAAACACAGTGTGCAGTATGTGATGTCACGTCTTCTGCGCATTCAGGTTGCCTCTGTACTGTAAACAATTCATGGTGGAGTGTCATGGAGGTTGCAGTTCAATTATGTGAACAACCATGCAAAAAAAATATCTGAGGAAAAAATGGGAATTGAGGGTTAAGACCTGCAGTGTGAACATACTAGCTATATGTAGGAAGATGGTGACGTAACAATTCAGTTTAGCAGTAGACAAACAAAAATCATGAAACCTGCTGCCATATATGGTTAGTTAACGCAAGTCTAACCCCAACTAATTAAGAACTAACATTTATGGGACCAACTTCTTTTAAATCTTTGCATATGGTTCACACTTACACATTGCACCAAATACCATTTAATTTGTTTTAGCCAATCACAGTTCTGTTAGGACATTTTTAAAAAAAAAATACTGTACAACTGTCTCATAAATGGTTCCCCTCTTGCTTGGAAATTTTCTGGTCTGCAGCGGGAGCTAAAACAGACCCTATAAAAACAGTTCAATGAACCTCAATTGACAGCAGTTCCTGCAGTGTGGACAGGAAGGAAAACAAAGAGGAGGAACTGCCTCCAATAGAACGGTGAAAAGCTCTCTGTGGTCCACAGCACCTAATGACATATAATAAAACAAGCTACTGKCATAGTCTGTGAATGTATCCAAACCAAAGTTTATAAATTTAGCGTTTATGTAAGTGTTCCAACACTTTGTCTGTTTTTTAATTAATGGGGCTGCTTTTGTCAAGGGATCTTGAAATGCTTCTAAGTGCCTGATTGAATTTATTAGACATAATTAGGAAAGACACACACCTGTTAAAGGTGAGACAAACACATTTTTTCAACAAAGAACTAGTCCAGAGGACCTCCTCAACTTTCTTTTAGTTTTTTTTAATGTTTGTTTAAGATTTCACAGCTGAGTAAAACTACATAGTGGAGACTTTTGAGTGTTCCTCTGATCCTTTCATTCGAAATAACAAGGGGTTGTGGCTAAAATAAATCACTGTGAAAGGAGACATCTTTTCAAGAAGTCAATGTGCCATTACCTGTCTCAGATATCACACATCACTGTTCCCAGTGGTGAGCACAGCGAAGCTAACTGTTTGGTGAATAAGTATTTTGTTAATTTTGGAAATTGTTAGTGGATCAGTTAACTTCCACTAAATTTAGTTCTGCTAACTTTAAGTTTGCTAATGATACAAAAACCACTACTCATAGCATAAACAAGTACTCATAGTACACATAGTTACTCAGTTTGTTCAGTTTACCTTAGTGGATTAATGATTCCCAAGCAATACAACAAAGGTAAGATTGGTTTACTGATTGTTTTTCAAACTCTAGACATAATTATGGTTTTATTTGCTTGTGTTTCAATGAATCCTGGTTGCATTTTGTTGAAACTTTACAAAGTATTTTTAAATTGGAGGACTCGCAGTTAGCAAAACTAACCCCCAATTTACAATGGATTCAGTTCCGCTCCTCTCCAGTCTGACCTCCACAGTAAATACGCAACCATTATAATGAATAAGAGCATTTACACTGGCTCTGCAAGGCAGTAATGGATGGTGATCTGCCAAAGTTTGATTCAAACCTATTTTGCTAGACGCCGGAGCTGCTCCAGAGTCAATTACAAAGATCACGCTGCACCAACAGGAAAAGAACGGAGTACAACATCCGGATTTTCAAAATAATTCACCGAAGGCAGACTAACTTTGTTGAAATCCCAGCTATGTATATTAACAAATATATGGATATATTTGTATACAAATGCTGTCAAAATGTGTCGTGTTTGGGAAGCAGGTGGAAACATGTAGCATGCAGCATATGCATACACACATAATACACTTCAGACCGGAGCAGAGCACACACTGTATAAATTGGGGTCGAAACAAATAACAGAGCACAGCAGAACTGCGTGTAGTTTAAATTTGGGGTAACCTTTTGGTTAGCTGTGCCTACAACTGAGTATACCCATATAGTCTGTGAAATTAATTATCACCACAATGTACCTTTTTAAGGAACAATGAATGTATTGAATTTGATTCATCGGAATACAGCAAACTAGATGTTGTAAGGGTTTTTGTAGAAAAAATATCTCAAACTAGGAGAGCTATCTTGTTTTATATTTGGATGACCAGTTAGTCTTATCACTACACACATCCCTGCAGATTTGGGACACTCCTAGTTTGCTACTGCAAAGTGTAGGTCTAAAAGAGAACACAGGATTCACCTCAAGTCATAGGGTTGAGGAAATTGTCTGTTCCCTCATGAGAACCATGTTTATTCCCAACTTCTTGGGGTGGCTGTGGCTCAGTGGTTAGAGCAGTCATCCTCCAATGAGAGCAGTCGAACATTTAATTCCAGCATTTTACAGTCACATGTCAAAGTTTCTCTGCGCAAGACACACAAACCCCTCATTGCCTCAGCAATCCAAAGCACTGATTTGACTCTATAGAACAATTTATTCAGATTAGCTTTGTAGAGATGTAGTAGAGTGCTGTATGAATGTGTGGCTGGGTAAATGAGTGCACAGATTMTGTTGTAAATCGCTTTGAGTAGCCTGGTTGGCTAGAAAGGCGCCAAGTAACTACAGTCCATTTACCATTTCTTGCAAAGATTTTTCATGCAGTCTCTCAATAACTGTCGACAGATCAGCAGGTGAGACAATATGCGAACGTAGCAAAGTAGCAAATCTTCCAAAGCATTAACTGCAAGTGTGTGAGGTTTTTGTGCAGGTAAGAGTTGCTGCTTCATGCTTTTATATGCTGAGCTGTATGTTGCTTTCAGCTCACCGGTCAATATTTTGGATACATTCAAATACATGTGGGATTAATATCAAAACAAAGACACTCATCAGGAAGTCTCAGTCAATATTTCCAGCCCACACCACACTTTTCTTTTATACCATCTCATGCAGACTGTATGCTCCAGACAGGTGACCTCCACAGCCTCTCGCTTGTATTTCTGTGAGAGCAAATCTCAAATAGAAAATCTCCATCTAAAGTATATTTGTAGACAGTAAGTCTTGAAACAAATCTGGTCCAAAATGTCCACACACTGGACAAAATATTTCATGAAGCACTGAATGAGTTCTTATGACACTTGCAGGAAGTAATGACTGAATGTACGTCTATAGTGGATTAATCTTTGAAGTCAACTTGATTTACGATGGCTTCCACCACCAGCTGACCTAAAAAGCACAAAAACAGCTATAGCTCAATCAGTTTTACAGATGTTGACCTACAAATTGGTGTGGTAGTAGCTGAGACTGAACCCCAACAGATGTTTGGAGAGCTAACAGAGTTTAAAACTTTAGCTGGAACTGTTGTAGTTAACCCTGTTTGTCTGTTAGCAAAATATCCCATGAAACTCTGGGCTGATTTCCATGAAACTTTTTGATGGGAATCTTTGAAAGTACATCTACATTTTTACTTCTGGTTTCAGTCCAATTCAAGATGGCCACCACAGCTAATCGACATCAGCAAACACAAGAATGACTATAACTCAGTCATTTTTACGAGCTATTTACAAATATCGACATCATTATGAACATATGAAATATACACTTTTAGGAGTAGAAATCTTAGATGATGACGTGTTTTAAAATGCTTTCTTTAAATTAGTAGCAATCAGTCAAACAAGTTTAAGTTATGTCCTCTGGACAGGTTCTTTGTGAAATATTTTGTCTTTTGTCCTAAAGACTTCTTCAGTCTGAGGATTTGGAGGGAAACTCAACTCCTCAGACTGAACACTAGATGTTTCAACAAAGAAGAACCTGTCCAGAGGACCTGACTCAACCTTGCTAGATTTTTCTACTTGGATTATAAAGCTTTCATCAGGACAAGTAGTATTTAACTGTGAGGGTATAATCATCACTTTGCTAAAATCCTGTCATTGGCTAGCTTGCAACAACATTATTTTTTATGAGAAGACATCACTTGTTCTAAATGAAACAATAAGGAGATCACATATTTTTTCTGTTCTAGTGCTTTTACTTAAGACGAGACGATAAATATTTTTCATAACGTTTTATCTTATGTTGAAGAAGTGTTTTAACCACATGACATACAAAAGAGAATGAAAACATCCAGATAATTGGCATACAACATGTCTGAGCAAAGCAGATTGCCAGGGCATGTGAAGTGTCTGACAGATTAGCTTTTCTAATAGCTGTGCTGTTTTTCTAAAGTCTTTATGGTGCTTTCGTTAAATCGGTGCTCGGAGAATAATTCAAGGAAGACTTAGCAGTTAGCACGACTGCTATTATTTTGTTTCCCTACACTTAAAGTTTGTAACATCCTAAACTTGACGTTTTCCTCATTGCTGCATATTTGGATGAAATCAGGAACAGATTTGTTTGCAGTAGCACCACTGCAAGTATTTTGGGAACGAGCTGAAGCTACATCTGCTCCTTATGCGGAGCAAGCGTCCCGATAAAAGTGTGAGTTCAAGAAATGGATACAGGCTGTGGAGAACAGTGTGAGTGTGATAATCCAAGTACGTGTGTGTGTACTTTTTGAGTGAGTGAGAGGTTGATTGAGAGGGTGACACTGCCATTGTGTCCCTCTTACAAAGATGCTCAAGTGTATAAGAGGTGGGTTTAAGAGTGTTGGGGGAGATAATGAGAGTGTGTGAATGGGTTATGATGAAAAGCTGTTACACGTGTGCTTGTATTGCTCTGTTTGGTAACCTCTGACCTTTCCTTCCCCTCTTCATTTTAGTGTATTCTGGGATTTGTATTGTGCAGCTCCAGACCGAAGAGAGACATGTGAACACTCCAGCGAGGCAAAGGCCTTCCATGATTATGTAAGTGACAGATGGACTCTGCCAAGAGTCTTTTTTTTTTTAAAACACGCTGTCAAGTGAAGCATTTATGTGTTCTGAATGTCTGCTGAAGCTCATGTAAACTGTGTTTGTTGGTGGATCTTGAGTGTAGTGCTGGACCAAGTATTTGAAATAATCAGTTATGTCGATTATAAAAATAGTCAATACAGAATTTTATTGTCCAATATTCGTATTATTTAACCACGTAAATGCTCATTTGTATCTGCAATAAAATACACAAACTACTGAGGGCAGAATTGCTTCTATTGTCTGTGGTTGTGTTGTTTGTTGATGAAGAATAGGTGCCGGTCTGCTAACCACAGAAGAAGACGTGGTGGGTGTATCAAAGAGTGGTAATAATGGCAGAACGGAAATACAATCATGTCGAAGGCTAAAAAAAAAACAAGACGTAAACTTTCAAAAGTTAGCTACATTTTACCAAAAATCAACCAAAGAAAGTAAAATGCAGATTCGGGCATTCCATGGCAGCACAGCAGCAGTGAAAACATCAAGATCACCTGCACCACAAACACGCTGGAGCCGTGAAGCGGGGCTCATGTTGTTTTCTTACTGTTTGTATATTTATTTTATTTTATTTTTTCAGTGATGTTTGGTCAACCGTATCATGGAAACGGCTGCACCAATCAACATGAAATTTGGCAGGAATGTAGATGTGACTGACCTACACTGTGCCAGTTAACGGTTTGACGATAAACAATGTATTTGAGGAAGGGGCTCCATCTAAATAGGGGGTGTCTGGACATGCAAAATGATTATAACTCAAAAACTATTCAACGTAGGAGCTTCAGATTTATGTTGTTGTATAGCTCTGTTGAAAGGTTATTCATCTGGCCCACCAATGAGCACACCCTCACCACCTCCGGACCCCCCACCCAAAACAATAAATCTGTTCTGATGATTTCTGCGTTCTGGTGCTTTGTGTATGTGCTGGATTCATATATGCTACCACTATGAAGTATCTAGTTATTGTTAGTTTACCATCAGAACACAGTGTTTCTTGGAAGTGAAGCTTTCAGTTATGCTAACATTAGCTAATACATCAAGTGTCATCTGATCACTGAATTAGAGTAATAATCCATTATGGATATTTTTTTACTTTTATGTACTTGAATGTCACTTTAACCAAAATTATAATAAAGCTACATGTATGGCAATTAATTTTGAACAAAACATTTCAGATGCAGTTGAAGTTCAGACTTTTGACTTTAATTCAGTGGATTGAACACAATTATTGCATAAAAATGTGAGGAAGTAAAGCAGTTTTTTAAATGCAATCCCTTCATTTCGGAGGCTCAAAAGTAATTGGACAGATTAAATAATTGTAAATAAAATGTTCATTTCTAGTACTTGGTTCAAAACCCTTTGTTGTCAATGACTGCCTGAAGTCCTGAACTCATGGACGTCACCAGACGCTGTGTTTCCTCCTTTTTAATGCTCTGCCAGGCCTTCACTGTGGTGGTTTTCAGTTGCTGTTTGTTTGTGGGCCTTTTGCTAGTCTTTAACAAGTGAAATGCTCACTGGGGTTGAGATCAGGTGACTGACTTGGCCATTAAAGAATATTCCACTTCTTTGCTTTAATAAACTCCTGGGTTGCTTTGGCTTTATGTTTTGTGTCTTTGTCCATCTGTAGTATGAAATGTTGACAATCAGTTTGGCTGTATTTCTGTCTCTGAATACTGCCGGCTGCTTCTATCCTGTGTCACATCATCAATGAACGTAAATGTCGTGTGCTATGATTGACACTGTAGCCTGTCTTCAGTCTGTCCTCTCTGGCCAAGATATTGTGTTGTTGTGTGTGTGTGTGTGTGTGTGTGTGTGTGTGAGCGCATGCACTGTATAGTGTGGGGAGATAATGGAATAGAGTTCTAATCCGGTAATCCCAGCACTGGGCCGAGGCTAAACCAGGGATTTGTGTGTGTGTGTGTGTTTGGATGGGGGGTATCTTTGGCAACCAGCCCATAAGAGGGTGGCTCGGCTCACACCCTGCTTCCAGTTAACACTGTGTATAAATGTAGATGTGCGTGCTACGCGGTCGTTGGCTGTCTGATAAAACTGGGAGACGGGACACGTTTAATTCTGGCTCTGGCCCCCCGAGGCTCTCCTCTGAGCACAGGTCCTCTCTGGTTTTAAAAGAATGAGCCGGTTAGAGGCGTCGATGAGGAAAAACATTCACCTCAAAAGAGTTTTTCTCATGTGAACTTATTAGATTGCACTCCAACGTTAAAGAAACCTCATCACAGTTTTCTCTGTGGGGTGCAGACGCATCAAAGGCTTGGATTTACTGTCAAGTTTATTTATCTGTGGTTACCTGTCAAAAAAGCAAAACAGAAGTTGATTGTTGCTTTTAATGACTGTTTCAATGGAGAATCTGGTTTACAGGGTTTAATATTCAGCACACAGATTTTTTCCTTCTTGTACAGATTGTTGTTTTGATCTTTTGTCTAATTGATCTCTTTATATAAGCTTTCAATTAAAGCTTAAGTGGCTTATTAAATCTAATATAGAGCTTCCTTTTATTACAGAGACTTTGTATCATTATAATCCATCAGTTTATTTTAGATGTCACATTATCTAGATTGAGTTGTATGCTTTGATCAATAAATGTCAAGTGGTCCTCTGGTAATGTTGTATTACTTGTATGCTTTCTGTTAGATTTTTGTCATTTTACCCATCATTCAAGTTTATCTCCTTCCTAAATTAAACATTAATATTCAAACATTATCTTGCAATTTGCTGATTAGAGGTGCATGATAATTGTAGTTTCTTTTGACCATTTTTTCCAAGCTAAATATGATCATGAAACCATTTAACCAACTCTTTTTTTATGTTTTTGCTCTTGTGTGAATTGATGTTTGTTGCATAGTTTTTGCTTCCCTGTCAGAAGGTTCATACTCTCCGTTTGCCGAATCTCTTGGGATGATCTGCTCAAAGCTCATAAGCTTCGTTCACACCTGGCCTTAACTCTGATCCTGAGTGATCTGATCAGTTCAACAGCTATTTTTCTCAGTTCATGATGGCGTTCGACATGTCTTTAATTAGTTTTAAATAATCACCTGTGATTGGGTCTTTATTCATCGCTCTACATTTTTTACCGTCCTTTCCTAAATGCTCTTATTTCCAATTTGCTTGTACATCTGCTTGTACTAGTTATGTTGATATTTTATTTGCATCTTCTTGGATTTACCTGGAAAAAATGATCCACGATTAAACAGATCAGGTCCCCTTTATCAAGGAGCAAATCAGTTAAACAGGTGGTGCCCTCAGTGTAGCTTGAACCTAGCTGATGTTATGCTATAGCCATATGAATCCATCCCATCTGTGTTTTTACAAGCGCTCTAATGCTAGAACAATTGGCCTTTTTTAATTTTAAAGTGTAACAAACTACAAGGTTGCTGTGTCCCGTAGAGTTTAGATCAGGACAAAAAAACTTGACCGGCGATCCGAATCCAACCGGACATATTTTAATCACCGTTTAATGTGATCCCCATTTTAATTTAACCCTCACAGCTATATAATGCTGTCCCTAATTTTATAAAGACCTCAGCCTTTTTTAGTCCTAGTGGGGACATTCACCTGTGGATGTTCTGGACCAGCTTGCAGCAGTGAGTTTCCGATTCAGTACAGTCCGGTTCGACAGCAGGGGTAGTTTGAAGAGCTGATCGTGGACATGCAGCTGACATCCACATCTTTTTTACATCACCGCCTCGCGTTAAGTTTTTCCTCCTCCTGCTGCTTGCCTGTGTCCGCTCTGAAGTAAATAAACACCTGTTGTTTACCTGCTGCTGCTGCATGTAAAGCGGTGCTGCTCTTCGCCTTTACCCCTTTCATTCTTTCCTGAACACCATACGGCTGTGGCAATGATCTGTATTTACAATAATGATTATTATTATAATAGCTGTGGAGCTGTGTGTGTGTGTGTGTGTGTGTGTGTGTGTGTGTGTGTGTGTGTGTGTGTGTGTGTGTGTGTGTGTGTGTGTGTGTGTGTGTGTGTGTGTG